TTTTGAGTATTTTTAAAAGATCTCTCGGTGTGTATGTTTCGTCTCGTGCGTATGTTTTTACATCTCAGTATTTTTAAAAAGTTCAATCTTTATTATTTATTTATTAGATTTTGAGGTCATTTTGCCTGTCAAGCATTGATCGCGTTCAAGGGATCAATTCTGTATCTTGAAATGAGGTGAAAATTATAAAAATGAATGAATTTACTAAAATACTGATAATTTCATTGATTAACACCTAGTAAATTTGCTTACTTATAATTTTCACCTCGTTTCAAGATACAGAATATTGGGTCTGCTTAATGCGACTATTGGGTACATTCAGAACGACAATCACTGAGCGCTCAGTGAACTCTTTCATCTGATTGGCATATTCTATTAGATTCTAAAATATAGACCAACCAGATGAAAGTGCTCACTAAATACAATACTTAGTAAGTGGTTGTTGTTTTGAACGCACCCAATTTAATTGGTCAATATTTAGTGAATCCGCACTTTTGTAATTTTTATCTTACTTCAATTTTTATTTTACACAATCGACTTCCAGGTTCCTTTTTACAATTTAGGGCAATATTTTGATTGATCAAACAACAACCACTATCCAAGACGAAGGTGTGTTGAATTGTTTGATGTCAAGTTGCAGTGTCGAATTGTGCGATGTCGAATTATTTAGCATCGAATTGTGTGGTGCCAAATTGTGCAGTATCCAATCGTGCGGTGTCCAATCGTGTGATGTCAAATTGTGTCGTGTTAAATTTTTATAAGAAATTTAAAAGAAATAAACACAACAGAGAGTCAGGACTGTGTGGTACTATATATACTCGACGGTAGGACGGAAGTCTACCAATATAGAGGAAATCAAGTCTCAATTCGAATCTTGGAGCGTCCTGATACTTTTCTCGTATTGTCACTTATTTCTTACATTATACAGTGTGTCCAGTCATGCTGTATCCAATTGTACGGGTCTAATCGAGCGGTGTCCAATCGTAATATGTCTAATTGGGTGTCATTCCAATATATATTTTATAGAGGTATATTTTATATCAGAATATATATTTTCATACTATGCATTAACAAATGTCACACTGAATCTATTTCTTGAACTTTATTTCCATACTAACAGAAGAGATAAAATGTTGCATTATATTAATCATTAATCTTCCAATGTATGGTCATCACCTGGATTAATGCCTACCAAGTCTAACTCTTGTGGTAAGCTTAATAAATTAAGTTGTTGATGTTGAAATTCAAAAAAATGCGATATTTCCAATATTTGCTGACGATTCCTTTTATTCTCATCTCTGTTTATTAAAATTGTTCTATATAAAATGCAAACGAAAATATAAATTTTACCGAAATGTTTATACTTACGCAAATAACCGATTGATATACTCTTCAAGCCATTTATTGAGTCGATTTATCATGTGCTTCTCTCGATCATCTATCACCTATAGATTATGTCAATTATAAAATAGTTGCTAATTATTTTAATAATGTTCAAACTTTTAATATTTACTTATTACCCTTTAAAAAGAGTTGGACAGTGTGGGCTAATATTCAATTTCCGTAAAAAATTAATTGAAATATGAAATTCTCGCAAGAAACTGGCAGATAAAAAATCGATTTAAGCTGTTTCCTTTATCTTAAAAAAACTTATACTCCATTTAGGATTTAAAAAATTAATAGTAATAATAATAAATATTTACTTGTAAGTGTGTTTCATGCGAGGCAGTAAGAATAGTAGCCAAAGTATCGTTATCGCAGCATAGATCCTTAAGATAAAATGCCTCGTCCTCAAAACTTAGAGACTGTAAAACTAATTCAATTATGTTATTATATTCTTTCTCTGCGTTTCGTAATAGCGAAAAGTGTCCTTGTGCAGTTTCTAGGAACGAGTCGACCATAGTTGTTATATTTATCCTGAACACCTCGTTTATATCCTTTTTTTTTTACAAAAAAACAAATCATTGCTCTGAATAATATGATTATTATTTTTATAACTTGTTTTGTATAAATTAATATCATATGCACGTACCTCCATTTGATCATGCAATATAATTTCTTTAGACATTAACTGATTTTGTATCTTGGACAATAAGTCATTGAATTCATTAAACAGTTCTTTTGTTTTTGCGATGGTACTCTCAATTTCCTGCTCTTGTTTTTCTATCAAAGCTTCCATCTCATTTTTTATATTTGTAAATATCATTGTCCTTTTTTCAAGTACTTCATTCACAATTCTTAAAATAAAGAAAGATGTTGAGTAATGTAGTCATTATCACATTAATAATTAAAATAGATCATAATTAAAATAATCACAGTTTTATAAGTGGACTCCCATTTAATTCTTATAATTGTTTTGTCTTTACCTTCTTGATTCATTTTGCGCGTTTGTTTTGCCTTCATTAACAGCAATTTCAAATAATTTTATTTCCTCCGCTCTTCTATCATTCTCTCGTAAACCTAGTTCATATAATTCGTGACATATTGCAACAAAAGACTTTTTGTACTCCTCGAATGCATTTTGTGTATTTTCATTTATCGTGGATAACGTTTTACCTGCTACTTGCACGTTTAAATAAATTATATTTTGTAAACAACAGTAAGACATGAAATGTAAATTTACCTTTATCAGAAGAAAACATTTGTTGGAACAAATAATCTTCATCAAGATGCTCCACATATGATGCAAATAGTAATAAGGTTTTATTTTCAAATTCTTGCTGCAACTTCAATTCTGTTTGTATTTTTTCCTCGTTTTCTATGAGATGACTAATTATACGACTATAGAAATAAAACAATATAATTATTAATTTATAAAAAGTATTTGAAAAGTTCTCTTTTGTAGTAAAATTAATAATCACTAATGCTTATCGATGGCAGATTGACGCTCGTTTTCGGATATCATTTTATATTGACAATATGTCAACTGAGGTATAAATGCGAACAAATAGTCCAAGTATCCATCTATCTTCGTGCAAGGATTATCGCATGTGTTTAAACTTTTGAGCGATTTAAAGTCACGGAGATATACAACCTTGGAACATCAATGGAACTTTATGAATGACAGAAGGCGATAGTTATAAATTAATCTTACATTTAAAATCATCTTAAGTACAATCTTAAGATGCCGCACAGTTATTTCGCACGTTGATATATATAAAATAGGATTATAGAAAGATTATTTAAGGTCAGATTTATATGTATAAAACAATTTTAAATATAAAATTGAACGATTAAAGAAGCGCGAGAAAATACAAGATACTTATATAATCATATGTACATGCTCCCAGTCATCGATCTTGTTTTTACCAATGTTCAAAATAATCAACTTCTTTAAATCGCTTATATTCTGTATGATCGAGATTTCGTTATTATATAAAAGCAAAATTTCTAGCTGATGTAGATTATTCAAGTTTTCCATAATTTTGATGTGATTAAACGAAAGATTCAGTTCCTTCAAGTGGCAAAGCTCATCCAAATTTTCGATTCTCTGGATAGCATTATGAGACAGTGACAGTTTAACTAGATTTTTCATAAACCAGAGGTGATCGATATTTAAAATTCCTGCAAAATGATGCATATAAAGCATTAGTCTTAGTCGTAAAATAGCGTTTAGGAGCCGTGCATACACTTTCTATAACGTACCATAAGGGTATATTCACACAACTTGCATAGCCGCATAAACGAGCATTAAGAAAATTATCCAATCACATTTCTCTTATAAAGTTGCACGTAAAATGTGATTAGATAATTTTCTTTATGCATTCGTTTATGCGGCTAAGTAAGTTTGTGTATTCTAAGAGTTGACCAATCAGAGCTGAAAGTTTTTGAAAATTCTTGACTGTGATTGGCTAATACGATTATTGTTACAGAAAGTGTGTGCACGGCTCTTTATGCATAGTCTACAAATGGCAATAGCAGTAGTGGATGAATCTGTAAATACGTTGTCTACAATATACGGAGTAAGAAGTAAAAGTAAGAAATTGACCAATTACAGTCGATTGTTCTTCTCACATTCGACTGTGATTGGTCAATTTCTTACTCTAATGTTTATAATACATGGAGTAAAGAGTAAGAATAAGAAATTGATCAATCGCAGTCGAATGCGAGAAGAATAATTGACTGTAATTGGTCAATTTCTTATAGGTCTTCTACAATAAACCATTAGTCATTGACAACTGTGATTGGTCAATTTTTAACTTCTGACTTCTGACTTCTGACTAAAGTCTTATTGTAGAAAGCCCACTCTTCTTATCTATGTATTATAAACAACGCCTCACCCACTATTACCATTGGGTGCTTTCCAGCAGGAGACACAAAAATGACACAGTGTAATACAGTGAATCATTACATCCTTATTGTTTGTTAATGTTATTAAAAAAATGAATACGATATGACGAAAATGATATGACATCAGGCAAAGATGACATCGGGCCGTGTAAATGTTGTAAAAGACAAAACGATACTCGTATCACTAAATAAAAGGCATTCATAATAATTGAATATGCATGGCTTATACTTACTCAGAAACTCGATTCGAATTTCCTCCAAATTGTTCAGTTCGATTCCGTCTTCGATAAACAGTCTGCCGCCTTCTTTCTTTGGTCCCTGATCTATCGCTAGAGAAATAAGCATACTTCTCGTTATCACGCCAGGCTCCGTGGCTTCGCGCAACATGCTAATCGTATCTATCTTATCCATCTTGTATCACATCATTTTACGTCTCAGGTCTCAATTTCAACCATCACCATGGTTTCAACCACCATACTGAAGTATAGATCCTCTAGATAGAGATCAAACAATGCGGGCTACTTCATGATTGGTTCTGTCATTTATTGTGAAAGTGGATGCGAGACTCCGCTATGTTGGAGCATGTTGGAGCATGTTGGAACATGCGACATGAACAAACTTTTTGTCTGATCTCTACCTCTAGAGGATCTCTATGCAGGGCTGTCGATGCAAAAAAAAAAAATTGAATACATTTAAGATTTCGAGGACTGTGAAGTGTTGATATGCATCATTCAGTCCCCAAAATCTTAATCACATTTATTTTCTCTGCGTTGATGATCTTGCGTTTCAATTTCGGAGCTGAAGTTGACATATCTATTTTACATTATGATACATATATTTGATATATTGTATGTGTATTGTAGATTGTAGCCAGCTCGGCTCCTCGCGCGCTGATGCTCGCGTAGTCATTTCGACGGTCGACGTGTAATCGCGAGTTCCGAGATGTCGCGTACGAGGACGGAGAAGAATGGAAACGGAGCCAAGTACGAGGTTACCGTATGGACACGTGCGATTACCGCGAACTCCGAGTGGCCAGACAAGGTAAACATAACCCTTGAATTGTCGTGTCATGGTATTACTAGTATCCTATTCTATCCAAAGGGGAAAAGAATCCACGAAGCGGAAATTATTTCTGACTTGTCATTTCTTTATCTTTTCATTCCTTTTTGTTGCAGGAGGAATTTCTCGATGTAATATACTGGGCGAGACAGGCGATCGGTATTATCGTTGGCATAGGATGGGGCCTTATACCACTAAAAGGTTTTATAGCTTTATTGTTGTAAGTATAGAGACACCAACTAGACTGTTTGCTCTCTTTTTAATATGTATGTCTCAAATCACAATGTGATCTTACCAAATACATTGCCACGTGTTTATATTTCAGATTTGTTGTAGTCAATGCAGGAATTACGTATTTATACTTTAGTAATTTTCAACAAATTGACGAGGAAGAGTACGGTGGTATATGGGAATTGACGAAAGAAGGATTCATGACCTCATTCGCTGGGTTTCTGGTAAGTGGAGCAGGATCAGTTTCTCTTAATGGATCATCTTTTTCCTTTTCTCTCTTGCTCTTTCAGCTTGTACTTTATTACTGTTGTTTGTTAATAGGTGACTTGGATTATTATATATTCAGGATTGCATTTTGACTGATATACTCAACAAGATCACAGATAAAGAGCAATAGTTTTTTCATATGGATCATCGCTGCTGCCAAATTCATTATACATATACAATAGTTTCCTTCACAATAGATACTGTTATATATTGACTTTTTTCATATACTGTTACATATTATTACATACAAATATGATTTATCTGTGTATAAAGAAAAGAAAGACCTTCTTACCTTCTCAAACTATGTATCTTATATAATTTTAACCACTTTAATTGCAATCGAATTTTTGCAAAACTCGTTTGTTTCGTTCTCACTTGAGTTAATCTCTACTAAAAGACGTTTCGTAATATTATAAAAATACATTTGTATGATTCATATTTTCCTTAGAACTTTACAATATAAATTTCAGCGGCGTTTCCATTGCTTTAGCCTACCATCAAGCGCTTACGTCCCCGCGCTTGTACCTGCTTGTATTTAGCGAGTATTTGCTCATATTGCTTTTTATTTTGATAATGCTGTTGATAGTAATGAAAAACACGGGAAAACAATTCCGGCACTTCGCAATGCGCGTTAAGTAGCGATCGCTCGAGAACGTATAGATCGACGGCTTTATCTTCTAGTGTGGAATCCACTCGGGCCAATCCGAAGTCAATCATTACAAACTGTGCCTCGGCTGCAAAGGAATATCATTTTATAAATACATATAGTGTGTATGTGTGTGTTGTGTGTGTGCGTGCAAATCACACATACACAGATAGATAGATATCGCCATTTATAAAGAAATAATTGAATCTTCTATAATAGATATGTATTATACAAAGGATACTAAATTTTTTCAAATACAAAATGTTGAACCTCCTTTTCAGTGCAAAGCAAATTTGTTATCAATAATTCGATTTACAATTAAATATGATAATTATGATAAAGTTTATTTATCGTTTACCGTATTCGTGATTTAAAGCGACATTAAAGCATTTATTGTGCGCAAAGAGAAATGCCATTGCGAAAAGTTTACCTCCTGATGGATTGTTATAGAGTGACTCGATTGAGTTGTTCTTGAGCAGTATATTTGATGTGGTCAAATCGCCATGGATAATATGTTTCGAGTGCAACTTAGCTATTACTGTGCCCAGTCCACGTCCTATGAAATCTAGCAAATGAACCATATCTATTTTTCCCGAAATATTCTCATCTATGAAGTTTTTCAGCACTGTGGCGTTTTCTATGTATTCCATGTAAATTCTGCGTCGCTCCAAGTCTACTAAATATAAAGCCGGCGTTGCTATTCCTTAAGAACAGAACGGGGCAGATTATATATTGAACAAGAATAAATGAAAGTAATGAATGCGAGTCATACTCTTCCACCAGTCATGTACTTCGATGCGTCGTGCATTTTTACCTGCGGACTTCGCCCGGATAATGGCGCGAGCCTCGGCTCTGATGCGATCCTTGGTGAGACGAGCGTCTAGTTCTGGGTGTCGGTAATTCTTTACGAATCTCTCCTTCATCATGCATGTCCTTCCTAAATAGAGTCCCTTATAGAGACGTGCCTCTGCTCCTTGTACTATCAATTCCGAGTCTTTCATTATGATTACTGGAGATGCACCATGTCAGTCGAAACGCGAATATTGCACTTCTATATTTACGTTATTGTAACGAGCTCTAGAAAATGAAACAACAGAGTTTGAAGGAAGAGAGCTTTTATTCACGCTAGAAGTGAAATTCTTCATTATCACAAAGATTGTAGGCACAATGTGCACGCACATGTCCATTAGATGCGCAAATATTACATTCGCGTATTGTATTCGCGAACAGATCGATTTACTCATTGCAATTTACGTAATGAATCTTCATGATCAAGCGATCCGCGATATAAAATATTTATCGAAGTTTCAACGAAGCTGCATGCATGCACACTCTCTAAATGCTTTGGAGTGGAATCAGATTTTAAAGAGTGAAAATTGAGCCAGTGAAGAACTTGAAGAATTGAGTAGCTCAATTTTCAATCTTTAATGCCCACTTCTATCAATGTAGTTTAACTAACCCTTAATCTTTTTTTAGTTTTAAAAATTAGAAAAAGCTGAAGAGTAAGTTAAACCGAGACTCCTGAATGGTCGCAAGTAGTCGTCACGGCCATACTCAATCATGACGTCAAAAGCGAAAAATGACACATTAATTTTTGTTACGTGCCATTTGTAAATAAAGACAAATTTGGATAAAACGAAATGACGAGATAACTTTAAAATACTTGTAAAAATGAGACAAAGCTATCCTTATCCCCCTTGACAATCAATAAATAATCATAAAAGGTGATAAAAGACGCGTGAAAGTGAAAATAGAATACGCATGCGCGTTGAATAAACGAACTTCAAATATCTTTATCTTTACTGATCTATTTACTGACTATCAGGGGGTATAAAATAGCTTTGCCCCAGTTTTACAAGTGTTTTAACGCGATCTCATTATCTCGTTTTAATCCAAATTGTCTTTATTTACAAATAGTAAGTAACAGAAATTAATGTGTCACTCTCGCTTCTAACATCACGATTCAGTATGGCCGTGGCGACAACTCAGGAGCCTTAAAGTTAATTTACATTACCATATTTGGTAAAAACGGATATAAGAGTAACATGTCATATATTTTTTAGAGTGACAATTTACTTAAAAAGAATACACATATATAAAGAAATAAAATGTAAAATCTAAGACATTCGAGCGCTGATTTGAGCTAACTGGGCGCTTTCACTAGTCGCACATAAACGTATTAAACATATAGAAGGACGAGGCGAATAAGAGATATCAGTCCTTCGGTCATTCTATTCGCTTGCGCGAGGCAAAATGTTAAGGGCGAGGCCGCGAGCGAGGGCGAGGGCGGCGAGGAGGTAAGGTACTTGGGAAAAGCGCGGCCGCTAGCGCTAGCGAGGCGAGACGAGGGCGAAACGCAAATCGATCGTTATCCGCCAGCGACCTGCGCGCTAATCGCTATCCCAGCGCTAGTATTCGCCCGTACTTTGTTCCCATCGGTCCCGGGTCCGCCACTCGCCATCGCCTGACTCGCCATCGTTACGAGCTTCCCCATCCGCGGGGGTAGTGCGAGTTGGCGAAAAGAAGAAGAAGACGACGACGACGACGAGGCGAAGAAAGTATGAGGGACGAGGTGAAGATGGACGCGAATCGGCTGATCGCCGAAGTCTACAAACGGCCGGCGCTCTGGAATCAAAGGCACATCTCCTACCATAATCGCGAGGTGACCAACCGCGTCTGGATGGAGATCGCAGCGATATTCAATCTGCCCAGTACGTGTCATGTAAACACCCCATCCCCGATTGGTACCGCAGGACCCGAGCCGCGATAAGTAATCGCTCGCCAGCGACGCAAACGCCCTACGCTGCCCAGACACCAGTCGTCTTTCGCCCATGCGTCGCTCACTCGTGTCAGACCGTTCCTCTTGGTTTCTCTTAGTTCCTCTTGGTTCCTCTCCTTCGGCAATAAGGATGAATACGTCCTTTACGTACGCGAGCGCGATGATCGTGACATCGAAACGAGCCTGCCGAACTAGCAAGTCGTCAGGTCGAGAAGGATACGGCAACCGCTCATCTCATGAATGACTTATGAATTCTTAAAATTGCCTATCCGACTCGGTCGTCTTGGAGAAACGCGGCGTTCAAATCCTTATTTTCATTTTACGCAAATATTAACGCGCTTTAAATAAACGGCTAAAATAATGCCTTTCCCATGTCACAAAAAAAATTTACAAAGAGAGAGAAAGTAAGGATCATTTGGTGATGTCTGGATCAATCTTCGGCGTTTTTGGCCAAGTTTTTTTTAAAAAGTATCTCGATATTACAATTTTTCATTATATAGTTGCTTTAATACTTAAAGAAGTCTTTCAACGCAATTTTGACATTTCATGCTCCACTCCGTCGAAAAAGCAAATACAGAAGACTATCACAGCGCATCTCTTTTTCGACATCAAAGCGTTATGTTAGGCTAATATTCTAAATTATAACATTCTACCGTCGCACATCTCAAAATGAAATATTATTCTCTCCGGCTCGTCGATCTATCTCGCCATCATCCAAATTCAAAGACACGAAACGGATTTCCTTGCCAGGAAGCGCAGGTTTCAAAACGAAATTCTGCACCTTGTGAAGTTGTAGATGCGAATTAAAAATTTCATATTTGACTTAACGAATTACTTTTATTCTAGAGGTTCATGCTGTTTTATGCTATTCTAAAGTACAATTCCTGCTATTTTAAAGTACAGTTCTCGAGATTCGCAAGTTTCATATGTATGTTTATTTGACGTGTTGACATACGTGCATCGTCCTAACCTCATTTCACGCGCGAACCGGCGCGAAGTATGCCACGAATGATTACGTCAATGCCGCGCGATATACCGCGGGGTCATCATCATCTTACCTGAGGTATTCCAATGCACGACCGAAACAAGATTTCTTATCGTGCTTCGATCGTAATATTAATTGAACCGTAAACGGTGAACCAACGTGAATACACGCACATGCACAAATCATTCGGTCGAGGACGCATGCGCAGAATAACGCAAGGATGCGTCGATGCGCGCGCACGAATGCAATCAATACGCGGTCTCTTTGTATATCATAGATAGATCTTATCATTATGGATCCATAAATAAGAAAAACTAATCACTCGGTGAGTAGGCTGCATTCCGAAACTAATCGAAAAGAAAGTGTTGCAACCTTTTATTGTTGCAACCATGAATATACATACCGTTGTGTTATCAAGGTTGCGGTCCACTTGCTTCTTCCAAATGCTCTGAACACTACGCTCTAAACGATATGCTTGGATTGGTCCATTATTGTTCCGATGCTACAATCGCTATGTGAACCCTTCAGCCAATTCACCGAAGTGAGGCAGTTGGAATGGAAGTGGGAACGGAAACGATGACGTATTGATGACGTATGAGAATTACTGGGAGCATTTCAAAGGTGCGTTCGGGAAGTTCACTGTCACGCGGTAAACACAAATGCTGCGAACTCGATCATCTGTTCGAGGAGCTAAGATAGCGTTAGCTACTACCAGCTCCATGAACAGCACTAGCGCAGCGTTAATGCTTTTTGATCTCAATTAACACTAGGGGGTGCGTTCGGGGGACGCTACCAGCGCTATGAATACAAATAACGCTACCAACGCTGTTCATACAAATAACGCGATAATGTTAGCAAGCTCCATAAATAACAAGCCGCAAGCATAGTGTCAGTAGCATTCACAGGGCGATATTTATAGTCCGTTCTTATTTTAAGACCGTCTTAAGATACTAATACAGCCTTCTGATTGGTTTATGGCATTTTAATACTGTATTTAAGAGGATGCTGGAAAGGACTTGATGTCGATAAAACAGATTTTTATTAAGGAAAATACACCTCCATTCTATTACGAGTATCATCTTCAATGCAAATTATGTAATTGTAAGAATTGTCGTTAGACATGTGATGTTACATAGATATCTTACAGACGCTTGAGGACATCTCTATGACATAATGTCTGAAAGATATCTTCGATCAGGATGTCTTATATCTGCATTTTGCATATATTGTTCTGGATGAATTTGGAGTTAAAAAAAATCTGTATTACTGACATTAATCAAGTTCGGCCATCGCTCCAGCATTCTTTTAAAGTGCTGACGAATTATTGAATCTTCACTTGCAAAGCGAACCGGCTGCATATGCTGTTAACATGTTGTTGCGTCTGCAACATCACTGAATAAGCTTTCGTTTGTCTATTTATAGAACCGATGCTGAAGGCAAAATGGAAGGGCCTGCGTGACACATTCCGTGCTGAATTAAAGAAGGATCAGGTATATCGCAAGAGCAAGTTTCATCGGAACCGGCCAGTATGGATACACTTCAAAAGCTTGCAATTCCTCAAAGAGCAAATGCTGCCACGGCCGCCAATCTGGGAGCGCAGCATCCCGAAAACGGAAGACGAGCTGCAGCCAAGCGAGGGCGAAGGCGAAAACGGTATGCTGACTCCAAGCATCGACAGCGGCCTCGACGATCGAGACACAATCGCCGATCATCTGTTATCGATGGCCGGCGACGGTAATATCGGCCATCATCATCACCACCACCGTCACCATCATCAGCATAAGCTGGACGGTGGTGACGGTCGACGTGGTACAGTGGACGTGAAGCGCGAACCCGAAGAGAGCTTCGACAACTTGGAATTTCAAAACGTCACCGACAATTTGGCGGAAAACGAGATGATGCTGCAGAATATTTCGCCTGAGCAGGTCCTGATGAGTGACAGTGACACCGGTCTCGCCGGCGTTGATCCGCTCGAGGGCAGTTGTCGTTTCGATGACAATTACTACTTCCTGATGAGCCTATTACCGCATATCCGTACCCTACCGGCCGATCGCAGGATGTTACTCAGGATGCAGATGCAAGAGCTTGTTTACAAGGAAGTCTACAATAAGACTACCGACGACGAGTCAACGGCGAAGACTTAACTGACGTCGCTGCGCTAAGTTAACTTTTGAGACTCCTTTTTCTCGCTGTAATAATATCACGTCGCGATGTTAAAAACGAGTTATGTGGATTTTTCTTAATGCTCATGTATATGCCGATACCAAAGTTAAATTGACTTTTTTTTTACACGCCGTCGTTTAGTGCCATAATTTAGGACTGCGTTCAAAAACTTCGCCCGAATATATCTAGGTATCATTTTATTCTTCTTTAACATTCGGTGAACAACAAGGATAAAATGATGTACTAATTCCTGAACGCGTCCTGTGTGACTGACGGAGAAGAAGCGGGAATCTTAAAGTTTTTCATTTAAACGATTTTTTAAGGAATAAGGAGTATTTATTTTATGTAAATATACAGGATGTTTTAGAAACACCTGGCCAAATTTTAGAGCGTATAGTCACAATACGGATGAAACAAAAAGTAATATGAACATGAGTCCGTTCATTGAGAAAAAAAAATACTTTTGATAACATTATAAATTAACAACTCTAAATTTAAGTACTTGCAACTAATTTTACGAAATAATAAGAAGTAAAGTAGTATTAAATACTATATTTTTGTAGTATTTAGTACTACTTTAGTTCTTATTACTTTGTAAACTCTCGATAAAACTAATTGCAAGTACTTAAATTTTGGAGTTGTTAATTTATAATATAATTGCCAAAATTTTTTCCCTCCGTGCGGAAATACTTTCTTTCCGAGTTAAATATTTTTTATTTATGACAGAAATAAGCAAAAACATTTTGCTAAAATAATTGTTAGAAACTTCTGCAGCGATGCATGCTTTGCATATTTATGGAATTTATCGAAGACGTTAAGAAATTTTAAAAATATTTCAAATTTTCACGTGAATAGGATTTTGGGAAACTCACAGTAGGAGTATCATAAACAAAAACATTTTTTGTTAAACAACATTATTATTAAAAATTTATGCAAACCAAAAACATTTTCGAAAGGAAGTATTTCCAAATTTATGTTCATATGACTTGTTTCCATTTTTATTGAATAGAATACGCCCTTAAAATTTGGCCACGTTTTTGTAACAACTAAGTAAAAATCTTTATTCCTCAAAGAGCGGCCACAAAATCTTAAGAAACCGAAATATTTTACAATTTTTTTTCCCCACGCAACACCGATCAACACGAGCTACTGAAACCGTTAAAAATCCGTATGAAAAAAAACAACTGATAAACAACTCATCGTATAAAAAAACGAGCTATTAAATTTTTAATATTTTTCAATAGTAGCGGTAACTCAGCGAAAAATTATTGAGATGAACCAAATCAAATTAAAACTTGGACATTCGTCTTTAATGTTCATTATTTTGTAATTTAAATTTAATCTCTGTAATTATCAAGCTTTAATTTGAACTTGGTCCATCTCATACGAAAATTTTTCGCTAAGTTAACACTATTAAAAAATATTAAAAGTTTATGCTAAAATTTAATGGCTCATTTTTTTTAGCGAGTGCATGCATGCGTGTTATATATAGGATGTTCAGAAATTACCGCGTCATCTTTCGTTGGCAGGTAGAGCGGGTTTAACTGAATAGAAAAATTCTTTATTGTTTTGCGAGTTTCTTATAAATCAGTAACTAATAAGAAGTTAATTAATATAAAGATTTGCGGACAAGGATGTCCCACGTGATTTATCCGCGCAACTTTTCTATTTAGTTTAATCCATTGTACCTATTCACAAAAGTTGACAGTTTAATTACTAGACACCCCGTATACAATTGGATGTATAAGCTATACAGCTCTAGGTAGGTCATCAACCGGATTGTCCTGGGTTCTAAGCGGGTTCGCTACCGAGACGCGGCGACACGGTTGAGCGACACTGTGCTCTCTTTCGCTCTCTCTCTCTCTCTCTCTCTCTCTCTCTCTCTCTCTCTCTCTCTCTCTCTCTCTCTCTCTCTCTCTCTCTCTCTCTCTCTCTCTCTCGTATCTGGCCCTGACGGATACAGCAGTGACGCACACCTGTGTGTACCACTGTGCGCCTGTCGCAGGCAGTCAGTGCGCGTTCATCACGTCCTTGCGACGTTTCATGTACATCATACCACTACCGATCGGTGCTAGTGAGTAGTGCACGATAATTTCGCGCAGAGTGCGCATGCGCCCTCCCTCGTTGTCGTCGATCAGTCGGTGTGGCTCCACAATCGTACGTTCCACTTCCTCGAGCTCCACGTCTCCGTAGCTTTCGCGCCGTGACTCGCGACTCGCGACTTCGCGACTTCGCGTCCGCGTCTATGCTTTCAGTTCGCCGTCGAACACACACCGTTATCTCGGTCGCGCGCACCTCGGTTAATCGGTCTTTCCCGGGTAGACGTCGCGTTCTATGACACGTTGTCGCGCGAGCATAGGTGTGTTGATTCAGCGGACAAACGGGATATACATTGCTGCTCTACGAACGGTGGATGTACACGGTCGTACCTGTCTGCCGCTAGCTGTGTCGCACTGTGTCGCACTGCAATCGACGCGCGAGGTGAGTCAAGTTTCAGGATCAGAAATCTAACTTCCGTGCGCTTCTTCCGCGTCGGAAAGTCTGCTCTCTTGAAGTGGTACCCATGAAGTGGTACCACCGCGTGTGAACTCTGTGAGTTTCCGGAGAATTCCTCCGTCAGTTCGGAGTTGACATTTCTCTCGGCGGAAAAATGTCGACCGTCAGTTTTTAGGACAACGTATCTTTTTATTCGAGAGAAGAAAATATTCGTTATTTGCCTTCTCAGCGATTTAAATTCATCAAAAGGAATATCGCCTTCATTGATACCTGAATGTTATTTTTATTGATGAAAAAAATTCAACTCCGAATTGATCGAAAAGCGTCATATTATATTCCCTTTACATCTATTTCTATCAATATGGATTAACTTAAATTTCAGTTTAGCTTACTCTTTATCTTTTTCTCTAATTTTTATAGAAAAAGACCAAGATTAAAAAATGAATCTGCATTGGTAGAAATAGTCATTATACAATATATCTGAAAGGAGCGAACATAAATGCGTGATTGTATGCGAATAGTTCAGCGTACCGCTCGCACCGTTACTGTAAATTCTATTGTACAGACCTTCGATCGTCCTCGTAACCAATCACTTTTTTGTAACATATGTATACATATGTAGTTGTTGATTTCGACGTATGTGCAATACGAGCATGTCCAGTTTGAAAATAGAACGTGTTCGCTCGGCTCTAGTCTAGCGTCTAATCCTTTAACCGTCATGCTCATTTCTTGATTGTGAAATTGCTTGAAAAGAAAACCGAATGTGTGTTAAAAACACATTATTTTATTAAAATAAAAAGGACTTTTTTATTACATCACTTATTTTATTGCATTACTAATATTACTATTGCGTCACTTCGCCTAATTACTAGGAGTAATTAATCATCCATGAGTGTGAAATCAGAGAGACCTCAAAACTTGTTGTCTTTAATCGGCAAGAGCTGAGTCTAAGGCACAATGAAAAACACAAGCGATAGAAACAGAAAACAACTTAACAGATTTCAACTTATCAGAAATCGTGCATTTCGATGTTACATTGTTTCTATTATGATAAGTTGAAATCTCGTATTCTCTCTTCCTGTTGCCAGATTGCCTGTGCTTTTCAATAGTGCATTAGGCTTTATTATTACACATAATTCTTAAATGTCAAAAGTGTGTAGCAAACAAAGCATTTCATCTTACGACGAATGTAAATAATATAAAAAACTAAAATTGTGATCGATATAAAAATAAAAGCGAGTCGAAATGACTTCGGGAAGTAATATGTGAATTCTTCAGGAACGATCGATCTAAAGAAGATTGAAAAATGATAGACGATCTCAATCAGATTTATGGACGAATGTTTTGCTTCGGGTAAGAACGGTAACAACGGTAACAAAATATAGATTAGGCAAAATACTGACGATATCCATGTGCCGTTAGAGAACGAAGATTAGATATCAGAGACTCGTGCACGTTAAATATATCCTCCGCTCTCTGTTCACACTTTCGAGTCTGCTCTAAATAGGCGGACTGGAATCTCAGCTCGGTGTGATTCGAAACGCATCTACGCATTCCATTCCGAGTGACAAGTGCCTGGAGACCTCTGGTCATATCCCGGTGTGCTTAGTAAGCACTGTAAGTAGCCTAATGTTCCTGTAGACAGGACGTGGTAACGTTTGCCGCACGGTGGAAGTTAGCGCAGTAACCAATCATTCTTTCGCTTTTATAGAAAAGCGATAAATTGATTGGCTCTCGCGACAATTTCCCTTCGTGATTCTGTGCAGGAGCCATAAGCGTGACGCATAAAGGAATCTCTACATTCACTCCTATAATTGCAACTTTATTTTCAAATTTTGTTCCAATTTTAATTCTTCTTCGACTGAAAGAATTTCAAACGAGGTCTAGTCTAAGTGCTCAAAAGAAGGGGACTTTATAGTAAACGAGAATGGATTAAAATGAATTGAAATTTTTTTCTATTCGAATGCGTATTTAAAAAAAAATAGCGAATACTTTTTTTTTTATTCAATTGGATTCAATTGGATTCAATTAGATTTTGCAGGACAAGATGTCCCACTCAGCCCTTAGAATCTATTTCCTTCTAAAAAATGTTGCACGTGACATTTGCCGCGTTCATCAGTTATAGGATATTTTAATAAGAGCTAAAACGAATGTGATTGTATTCAGGATCATCAAACTCTCATATAAATTGTTTTACCACAAATTTTCATATTAATAATTAGTTGCTCATTTTTGGGACACACATCTCAGAAGGTAATGAAAACCAATGAAAATTTGTGATTAAAAAATTTATATATAGGAGTTTGACGATTGTATATAATATTGACCGACAAGTACATCGATTATAGAAATGACTATTTTAAGGATGTTCGATAGATATTTCAAAATAATAGAAAAATTATATAAAAAATTACGGATTATTCTAAATCACATTTAAAAGTAACACAATTGTGATGATTTATCATCTGAATCATAAATTATTTCAATAAGAGAATTAAGTAGTATTTTTTTAATCTATGCTCTAATAAAAATATATGAAAATGTATTGTAAAATAAATGACAAAAATCTCAATCGAACATTCTTAACCCTTTGTGATCACAATGAGAATTTTATATCGGTCACATAAGAAGCAAAACGATCCCAATAATTTTAATTGATTGTTATATTTGCAGCTTTTGTTTTTTAAAATCATAAAAATTACCGAACATACTTTAACATTTTAGAATATTTTTGGAAATATAGTGACTTCTTAAAGATTTTAATTTTAATATACACTACTCAAAATTAAAGGATCATCTATTCCACATTACAAAAATAGGCAAATTTCAAGAAAGAAGAACTTCATCATAAATCATTGTATCGAGATATTTAAAAGAGTATTTTACAGTTTGAAATCTCTATTTTTTCGGTCGGTACTTTAGAAAACAAAATTGCACACAAAGGCGGTTTACAGTTTACATTCGAAAGAGTGAATCTTTACCCTTAATTTGCTTTTTTATTCAACTCTGTATAATTTTTTTAGACAAGTTATCCAACATTGAAGCAAAAACGATTTTTTAATTATTCCATCTTGTTTGCCTTTTCCTTCTCAACAAAATTAAAAAGTCATTTAAAATCAGCGTTAAAAAAGACCAAATTCAAATTTCACATATCTCTGCAAAGTGATATTTAAAAAAGCATTTTAAAGCCAAAACAAATTTCTTTAATTGTAAGTTAAGCTTAACATTTTTTTCTTTAAAATAATTTTTAATCATTATGCTACAATTTTTTTCACTGAGTGACAATTTGAAGTGAATAATGTATTTTCTGATCTTTTCTTTAAAAGTTTATAAAAATTTTGTCACGAATTAATGCTAATACCGGTGTATTGTAGTTCAGTGGAGTTTACGTTTCAAGACCGAAAAATCATTTCGACGCGCAGTTTAATAGACTATGTAGTATATAAGTAGTAGTATATAAATTCACATAGAATTTACAAGAGCACTTAAGATCGAGTTAGATCATTAAAGGCATTTATCTCTTGTAATAATTAACCAAATAATTAATCGCTGGTAAATTGAACAACTTCTTATATACGGAATTATTTTGTATGAAGTATCATTAAAATGGTTTGTGAGTTATTCGTATAACTATAATTAAATAAAAAACTATAATTAAATATTTATAAGATCGTGTAATTGACCGAAATAATATGAAGGCGCTACAAAGCTCCGGAAGTTTCGTCAAGCGCTACCGTCAATCTTTCGTAATATTCCGATACTTTATCTTTGTGGTTCAAAAATTTTTTTTGTTATAAAAAATTTGATATATTATATATTTATATTAAAATATATATTTTAGATACTCTTTTATAAAATATTATCTCATGTTTCCATTTTAACCTACCTCGACGAATGCTATCGACTTCATTTATTGTTTATGCAACTTGTGAACATTATCGTGTTATTGGCTCTAGGAACAGCGTTGGTAACGTTTACATTCATAGCGTTGATAGCGTCTTTCCGAACGCACCCATTATATTGTGACCTTCTTGCCAGTTTTCTCACGCTTTTTCCTTACTCTGCTTCTTTAGAATACATCGTTTAATAAAATTACAGATATCACCATTGAGATCTCGCCGTAGTTCCATATATATATACAGACAAGCAATGTCTGTATTTACTTCATTAGAATAATGACCGCGAGCCCCACAAACTGGTTCTACAATAATCACATCGTAGCGTCGCAAACGTGTCGCAAGTATTGCAATCTGATCAACATCAGGCTTGACTTTGATTAAACTGCAACGCTTGCGATGTTGCGATGCGATAATGTTGAACTAACTTTACTAGTCGATGTCAGCAAGCAATATGCTGGAAAGATTGCGAAGGAGGAGGATTCCCTTACATTAAATTGAAACTGCGAAAATGCATTTTTGCAATCCACGTAGATTATGTTACTTTGCGTTGAAATTTGTAGTCAAGAGAGATTTAATAATTTGAATTTTCAGATAATTACTCTAGTTTTTTTATTGTTAGTAAAAAAAAATTTTTATTGTTAGTATTCTTTATATAATATTTCAAAGAAATAAAACATCCGTTTGACAAAACTTTGTTAGTTTCTTTCGAAGTGAATATCATCGAAATTACAAGAAATGAAAAAATGTTTTTTAAATAAAAGTTGAATAGCTTTTATTAGTATTTTATAATGATAATTTTTTTAATAGGAATTTTTTCTATAAATAAAAATAAAAATATTATTTATAAAACATGAAAAATTGAAAAGAATTTTTATCACGATTATAAAGTAACTTTGAAGCTCTTGAAACTATTCAACTTTTATTAGAATTTTTTTCCGTCTTTTATAATTTCCATTATATTCGTTTTAAAAGAAACTAATTGATTTTGTCAAATAAGTGTTTCATCTCATATGCAGAAAATGCATATAAGCACATATAAAAAAATACATGTTCTTTATTTTCTAGATAACGCAAAAAAAGTTATCAAAAGCTCATCAAAATCGGAAGGGACACTTCCATATATTTTATTATTTAATTATTTCAGAATTTACGTGTACAAAAAATTCTAGAAAAAACTAGACTTTCTCAACAGTTTTTAAGTGTCCCAATTTGTTAAAAAAAATTTAGAAATTGTCTAAAAAGTCATAAAATTATACAGATTCTGAAAAATTCAGAAATGTATATAGAAACATATATAGAATTTTGAAAAATTATATAAAAAATTTTAAGAAAAATTTTCGTTAGAGTTATTATAAGAACATCAGGGTATAAATCAAGTATAAAATTTAGAATATAATTTTTGAACTTCTATCTTATTTGAGTTGTTTTAATGTGAAAATTTAGTTTCGCACGTTATTCGATTATTAACGCGAGATTTGTTAGAAAACTCGCTGTTGTTCCATTCAACATGGCTGTATTATCTCATTAACATATAATCAATAATATATTGGAATATTATACGTATTTTATTACAGAATTTTATCAGAAACTGACATGACAACTGATGAATGCGGCAAAATGCAGAATAAGGCGCACTTCAAACTCAGTCGTGCGCGCATTTTGCTTCTGTATCTCTTATTATCTTGAATAAAAGATAGCAGCAACGTAGCAACGTTCTCTTTCTCAAGATCGATTTAAATTATGTGAAAAACATTGCGCATACATATACATATATATACATATACAAGTTTACCTCGACCCCGACTTCTCAGTCAGAGAATGAGGGAAGAGAAGTTCTCGCGGGCAACGACTCGACTTGACTTGCATCTTTCTTTCTCTTTCTTTCCCGTCTACCACACCGCTTGTTACTTTCAAAGCGGACGCGCTCCTGGCATACCTTAAGTCTGACTCATAAACGTGGTGTTTCAGCAACAACGGGGCAGGCGACAACGACGGTGACGGTGGCGGTGGATGAGAAGAGTGTCCTTTGGTGGCGCATGCACCACGTTGCAACGCGCGGATACTACTCCGTCGGGGCCCATTGCGGGGTCCAAGGATGGTGAGCTCTCGTACATCCATCGTGAACGTCACGTCCACCGTTAACGGTAGCGGTGTAGCCGACGGCGCGAGGAACACGTCGCGCGAAGACGAGAGACGTGCGACGAACGGCGTCGGCATCAGCGTCGGCGTCGGCGTCCCTCAAGAGTGGAATCAGAGTGGGCCGCCCTCGCTCTCGATGTCGGTCGACCTGCATAATTTCGACAGTTCGACTCTCACAGACTCGGGACGGTATTCCGCGAGCCCGGACGATCACCAGGCCGCATCGGCCAATGCTACCACAATCAAAATCGGCCGTCACGACGAAGAGGAGAGCTACGAAGGTTTTGGTTCCGTTGAGGGCGATTTGGTGGATGATGGACCGGAGTCGCCGGGTGGTAGCAGTTCCACGCCCTCGCCAACCGGTACCAACTTGCACAGGTAAGTTCAATGATATCTTTGATAGAAGAAGAAACATCAGGGTATAAACCAAGTATAAAATTTAGAATATAATTTTTGAACTTCTATCTTATTTGAGTTGTTTTAATGTGAAAATAGTAATATTTAGTTTCGCACGTTATTCGATTATTAACGCGAGATTTACTAGAAAATCTCGCTGTTGTTCCATTCAACATGGCTGTATTATCTCATTAACATATAATCAATAATATATTGGAATATTATACGTATTTTATCACACAATTTTATCAGAAACTGACATGACAACTGATGAATGCGGCAAAATACAGAATAAGGCACAAACTCAGTGGAGTATATCAAGATTACTTTGCGGGATGATTAATTTTCTTTTATACTCATTTTTTTTTGCATACGAGAGTATTTAATAAGATGCACTCTATTCGATATTTCGTCAAGTAATTTTATGTAATACATGTATGTTGCATTGTATAACATATATGTATGTATAACATGTATGTATATATACGTATATATTATATAATATATACATATATATATATATATATATATATATATAAGAACACCTGAACTTGTATATTAAGAAATATCAAAAAGTTATTATTAGAATTTGTAATCTGAAATATTTAGTTGTGTGAAAACGAGTTATTATTTCTGAAACTTTAATCTTTTGTAAAATTTTTCTTGGTTTCAAATTATTTATATTTCTTATTTATATTGTATAATTAACTTGAATAATCGGAAATCGAGTTGCAATAACGCATATTCGAGCATCAAAATATCCGGAATCACTGTACTATTCTAATCTAGACAAGAAAAGAGCAAAAGCAAACCAGATCTTCTATTATGTTAATTGCTTCCTGCCGTTATTTGCTCGATATACGTAACATCAGTTACGGAATATAGTATTATTTTCGAAGCTGATACATGGTACAGATACTAAAAACGTTAAAATGCAATATACCCGAAGCATGCCCGTGCATTTTTACGCTGGGATGAATTTACATGAGAGCAACATGCTGCATACAATGTCTATCATCTTGGAACAATACCGACTGATTTGCCATCTGTAGGCGCAAGTCGCACACGAATTACATAATGGAAATGTATTTTCAAGAGTCGTTTTGCAACACTCGTGTGTTGCGTATTCTCGATAGTGATTTCCTGTTAATTTTTTTTTGCGCAAAATTCAATACGTACTACCTAATACGACATACAATGCGAAACTTCTTTTGATTGACGTGCGCGTTTTTTCTGTCATTTTAAAATATACCACATGAGGAAAAAAACTGCTTATTATGCAAAGTTAATATCAGATAAAGACATATTCGTTTATAGACAACTGATTCTCAGAATGTTGGCGCAATCACAATATGGAAAAAATTGTCTAATGAAAAAAATTGTCATAATATTTTTAAGAACTTTTCATATATTTCATATCTATGAAAATTTCTGAAAAATACCTTAACTTTTTTAGATTCTTTTCTATATTATACAAATTTTTAAATTTTCTTTCATAATTTAATATATAAAGAATTCTAGAAAAAATCTCAGTATTTTCTGAAAAATGTTTTAATTCGTAGAAAAAATCTGAGAAATTTTATAAAAAGTTCTAAAAATATATAGAAATTATATAAAATTATATAGAAATTGTAAAAAAATCTTACAAAAAAATTTTCTAACATAAAATAATAGTTAATTAAATAAAATAAATTACAAAATTACATAGGATTCTAAAAAATTTTTTAATATACTATAAACAAAAATGAATTTTAATGAATCATTTATTTGAATAGTGCTAATTAAATATTTATTAAATATAATTAGTACAAAAAAAATATATTTAGTACAAAAAACATTAATTTGATTTAATAATTATTTCTTTTTATTAAATAAATATTTATTTATACTGTAATTTAATGTTTAGTTGGCACCATTCAAATAAATATTTATTTAAATCTAGAATATTTTTTCAATGTACTAATTTTTGAATAGAAATTTTAAAAAAATCATTATATGAAAAATTCTAAGAAAAATTGTCGTTAGAGAAGGCATTTCTTTATAACTCAATTAACATATTAATCAAAAAATCAAATTCCAATAAATCATAACTATTTTTAATGTTTAAAAAAAAATCTTTTGATCTCAGATTTAAAAATTTCAACAAAGATTTAATGAATCTTAATATAGATAAAATATTTTATAGATCTATTGTTAAGTGTCTCGTATGTTGTTATCAATCATTCACAATGAAATGATTTTCTCTTTGAATCGCGAGTTATACAATGAGAAAATTTATGCTGACTTTACAGAACGGGATCGTGCAATCATCACTATGTTTTCTGACTTTATAGAAATCCAAGAAGTCCGAATTCCACCATTGGAAAACATTCCTGGTTGCGTACGTCGCTGCGAAGAACGCCTCCTTGGTAAGAAAAGGACATTAATCATCTTTGTAACGAGCGTTGCTTACTTTTGTATGCATGTAAGTACATACGCGCGCGTAATTTCGCGTCTGAGAAATTTTCCGCCATTCGTTCGCAGTGCCGTAAGAAACGCGACGATACGTCGTCGCGACGAGACAATGATGATTTCGCTGCGCCGTCTTGGCGTGCGAAAAAGATCCTCGTGGGAAAGCGACTGACTAACGACATGTTAAATAACGTCATTAATGCAATAACCAAGATAAGAAACCTGTTAAATTTCTTGAAAAGCGCCTGCGTATCTTTGGCCTTCAATCTATACGAAATGACGGAAGCAAATTCATACAAAACATTGTTACCTAAACAATTGTTTTCTGTTCCCTGATCTATTGGCTTGATATTAAATACTAAAACAGAGAAAATGATTCAATTCTTACTTTTTATATATATTATAATTTTACACACTTTTTATATAACAACAGAAAAATATATTGGTTTTGTTTCTATTATATAATTCTAATCTGCCGAAGTACGGGAACGTATAAGACGTTGAGTAATACTTACAAGTAACTCATTAGACCGCCTCTGATTTGGCTCATATTTTTTATGGTATTTAGTATTTGCAATGTATTTGCAATGAAAGGAAAATAGAATAAAATAAAATAAAATTTGATTGTTTTACTTATTCATTATTTGATATAAAATTTCTATGGAAAAAATGAAATTTTTCTTTAAAATCACGATAAGAACAAAAAATATCAAAATTGTTGGGTGTTCACATAATTTATAAGGCTTACATGAGAATTTACAGATTTTCCGATTTTCAATAGAAAAAAAAAGGAAAACTGAAACATAACTTGGAATTATTTGGCATAAATTCCTTTTTTATATTATTCTTTTGCAAATACTATAAAATAAAAAACACTACATAAGCCAAATCAGAGACGACTCAATGAGAAACATTACTTGTTAGAAAAATTATTTTTCTGATATAATGAATATAAAAATCTAAATTTGTAAGCACGATGCAGATTGCTACTTAGTAAGATTGACGATGCAACATCTATAATATATATCGTAATTCTCTCTCTCTCTTTCTCCACTCGCGACTCCCTTTAGAAATTACGACTTGGCTTATGATCAAAGGTACATTTGGTCATGTTTGGCAACGCAGGAGGTAGAAACGCAATATAATTCGCTCGAACGAGTAATCTCTAAATATAAGCATCTTATAATAAAACGTAAATAACATGTATATGAATGTTAAGGAAAATATTTTCATGTTTGCAGCTCGGGCAGAAAGAGGCTCAGTTCTAACGCTTTAGCAAGGTAAGAAAACACTACGCAATATTTTATATATATATATATATATATATAAATGTATAGATTATCTGTCTTTTAATTAACTGGCAGTTTCACCGCCTGTTCCGAACATGATCTCTTTTTTGCAATCTCTCGCGTTTTTTCTCAATTTACCCGCGCGTGCAAAAGGAAATGAATATATCTCGGATAAAAGAGTTCGCTGGCCGTAGGATGATGCCTTTGCATCAAGGTTAATAATTCCCGAAGTCGCTCCTTTCACGGAACTTGAATCGACGAACTTTCTAAAACGTGGGTGTGCTTCTATTACGTTACATTCTATACCCACGATTTACCTCGATATTAGCGTTTCCTTCTACGCTACCATCGTTACGTTCAACTATATACATACGTGTCTTATCCGTCTGTCAAAACGGGCAAGAACGAGAAAACATTGGTCGCTCACGTACGACTTGAGATCCTTAGAGATATTCTAATACGACTTATACATATTGTCAGTTTGACGGCAATTAAAAAATAATTTTGTCATTTTTACAAACTAAAATGTCTATTTTTTAATTGTCAGAACTTTCGCTAAATATATCTTTTTCTACACTCTTACTATGTACTGTGTATAATTTTTGAAATAGCTTTCTGAATTGTGTAATATTAATACTTTCATATAACAATTTCGAAATTTCTTTTCAAAATCAATTCTTTCATATGAATATTAAAAGAAATCTTTTTGCTATAATACTTGTAGCCAACTTTATCGCAGTGGCAGCTTCAACAGTTCTGGAATGGGCTCGAATTACGATGCTACGGACGATGTGTACAGCGATGTATCCTTGGAGGACGTCATGGATCTCAGCCATAAAGTAAGCCTTACGATTTTAACATAGTTTTTTTTTTATTCATTTTTAAATCAGAGCTTATTCGAATATAAATGAATTTTCACCTTTTTATTTTTTATCGCTTCGAGCCATGAATTATTCCCATTTTGAAAAAGCGAAAAAGTGCGATGCGACCCGAACGGAGTCGCAACAGAAGGCAAAGATTCGTTTGTCAACTTTCGCGTGGAACCACCAGTTCCTCCTTTAACCTGATTTGGAAAGTCGTTCGCAGTCAAAATTATCTTGGTGGAAGTCACTTTGTTCCTACGTACCGAGGATGCAAAGTGTCCCTCCTAAGTCCTAAGAAATTCTAGGATCTATTGCCAATGTGCGCTACGCGTTCTCGTCAACCTTACGGCGGCGTACATCGTAATTCTGAGAGGGACCAACCACATCCCGCGGTACAGGTTCCTCATCCCGTTCCTTATCCTTTCTACCCACCTTCCGCGTATCCACGTTGCCCTTCGTACGATCCCTACGCGGCATATCACACATATCCGAGCTCATTTTGTCCATCGCCCTATTACGTTCACGACGTTGCTAAGGAAGAGCCCGCGACTTTTTGGTCTACCGGTGTTCTCCTCTTTCTTCTTGCGATCGGTTTGCTCGTGATTGTTTACCGTAACATCTCTCGCGAATCTCGCCGAAAGATCGCTGCTTGGCTACACTTGCCCTGGCTCGCTTCACAAGTAAGTCCCACTTCCTCCAATTTATTTCGCAGCTGTCTCACGGAATTAATTCAATCGAATTGAAAGATATTTATGAATTTAGATTGTTCATAGTCAGTTTAATTATTCTGTATAATTGTTCCACCTGCCACAACTGTGAACAACAGGGGCGGATGCTGACTTTTTGGTATTTAGAATTAGTTAAAGTTATACAGATCTATCACACAATTTTTAAGAGATAGATACAATTACTTTCGAATAACTTCGCTGACGACATATGAAAAAGTCGATTTATTTCCGGCCTGTCCAAAATTCGGCTTGTAAGCCGAAACACTTTCATCTCTTCGCCACACCGTCTCAATATGCGAGACGAAGCGTAAATAACACGTTACTGCAATATTGCTGCAAACTTCTGTATGAGAATATACTTTTGTATAATATCACACTTTTTATAATAAGAAATAAGGATACCTGAAGAAGACCGGTATAGCACCGTTATGGGTATCACAGACATGAGAGAATGATAGGCAAAATAAAAAATGGCTATTATAATTGCAAATTGAGAGACGATACAACGCTTGGACAGGCCTGATTTATTTCAATACTGTGAGAATGAGTCATGAAGTCTTTTTTTTTCTGACATCATTATCTAATGACTGCAGTGACGAATCCAGGAATTTTAAGTTTCACTGATAATTTCCATGACTACACGAATCCGCCCCTGCAAACAAAGAAAAGAATGAAACGACACTTTTACTATTCATGAGACCACTCCACAGAGAACTGTAGACGCAGATAAAGCTTAATGCACAATTGAAAAGCGCAAGCAATAAGAACAGAGAATAAGAGATTTCAACCTATCAGAAATCGGGTATATCTTTTTCCTATTGTCTTGTGCTTTCTTTATTGTGTTTCAAGCTTAACACGTAATATGTATCTTTTTCGCCCTTATTGCGCAGGGCTATAATCGCGGGGACTGAGTTCCGTAAAGAGATCGAGTCCCCTGCATGAGGAATCTGCCTTGATTTTGTCCATCTTTCTCGACTCGTGCAGACCGCGAAGACACAAGACGAGGCTCAGAATTATCCCGCGGAATTTCTCCAATGTACCGAGCGGAACGCAGATCACGGTCCTTCGTGCGTGGATCCCGGCGAATCCTTCTCATTAACGGATACGATAACGAAGACATTCGTAAATCCCGTCTACGAGAACAACGAAAGCGAAGTTGACCGAGACGAAAGCGAAATTGAAGACAACGAGATTGTCCAAACCGAGTTCGTGGGAAATACTGAAAAATTTCGAATCCATCGGTATTTCCATTTCGAAAAGTGATTGCCAATAACGAGAAAATACAGAAAGCAAAGTAAAATCTGAAGTATACAAAGGACTTCAATTAAGAGAAACGAGTAGAACGCCTGATTGAGTGAATACTGAGTCACCAACGAGAGCAAGTAATAATTATTTTTTACAAGAAAAATATCTATTTTATTTAGACAAGATTATGGAATCGATGCAATTTTTATAGAAGAATAAACCTAAAAAGAATGTACTTTTTCAAAATTAATTTCTGAAAGTGTATCAATTTATAAAAATCTAAAATATATATTTTTTTTTATAGTAAAATTATCCAGAAGTTGTGAAAAAATATAAAATTTATATCATAAAACTTTTAAAAAATTATATGAAGAATTAAAAAAAAAATTTCACCAGGGAATTATAACATATAACTATAATATATTGTTAATGAATTCTTTATATATAAATTTGATAAATAATTAATATTTATAATAATAAACTTTTTATGTCATAATTATAATACACAGCTAACGCAATAGAGATAAAATGAAATAAATAAATTCTAACACCAAAAGTTAATTTAGAGAAAGTTGTAGAAAGTTAATGAAAAATGTATATCGTTAAATGGAAGCATGTCGGGGGGCTCGTGTTAATCGTTGGCTTTGCATTATCACGAATATACGTAGCGATCATTCCCGCGCGTTTGATCCGATCTCATTGAAATTATACTGATACGATATGCCAATTCCTGACTAATTTTAAGGCATGATGCATAGTTCCGCTACACGCGAAGCCTTATACACGTTGCAGACAATTTCGTGTGAATAGAATATACGTACCTATCAGGATGTTGGATATACAATGGTGACGTTGTCGCGATGGATCGTCAATTAAATTGGCAAGTTCGCGTGTGTGCCCATCGCATCGTAGCAAGAAATACGTAACCGCCTGAGTAATTTACGTATTCATGTACGTATGTACAACATTGCGGCACGACGGGGTTCAATCTAGGTTGATGGAAGAAATAGCTTTGTCGTAAGGCTTGATGAAATTTCAGCACATGGAAACGTGAGCCGCAAACCATTGCATTTAATGGCGTTCAACATGAAATCGCGAGTTAGCTTCACGAACAAGTCCGCTTCAGTCGTAACGTGACAATAGCTTCGCGTAAGCTCCGGTTTAGAATAGGTCAGGGATGGGAAAGTTACTATGTAAAAGTAGTTAGTTATCGTTACAATTACTAAAAAAAGTAACTTTTAGTAATGAAGAATTTTTTTTTCTGCCATTTAACATGTCAACAATGGAAATTGTGAATATTGGACTTCAAAAAACAGTACAATTCTTCTTGTAAAAATTCGATTTCTTTTGTTCGCTGGTTAAAATGAAAAAAATTATCCCAATCGCTAAATTCTTCATTAACTGGCTTTCACTTATAATATAGTATTTCCCTAGTCTTGCGTATACATTTCTTTTCAAGAATAGAGGCCCAGTATTAGCTTCAGCATTAACAGTGAATATAAACGCAGCCATAATCAATATAAGTTACGGTCTACTTAATGCTACAAATGTTTTAAAGCATTCTCTAATTGATCAATTAGTAAATTTCTTTCTTCTGCTTGATCAATTAAATGTTTCGAAGCATTTGTAGAGCCAAATCACACACTAAATCGACAAATAAGAAATATATCGAAATTAATTATTAAATTTATGTTACTAGTTACTTAAAAAATGTAACTAAGTTAAGATACAGTTACTGATAAAAAGAAAGTAACGAAGTTAAGTTGTAGTTACTGAAAGAAAGTAACTCTAACTGTAATTTCGTTAAAAGTAACGAGTTACTTCCCATCTCTGGAATAGATGCAGTACGCCTTCAGTCTTTTGCTCTAGCAGCTTTGAGTTGTGACGTTAATCTCCTCTAATATAAGCTCTAAACTTTATAATTGAAATCTGTAGCGAAATTCTGTAACACGTTATGTATTCACAACGACAGTTGCGCAATTTTTTTACTATAAATATAAAATATCTGCATAACCGTCATTATGAGCACATAACGATTATATAACGAGTTATAAAATACAGGAGCTGATTGCTTCAGAAGGATCTTTTGTTTATATATTAAATTCTCTTCAGAGTAAAGATTTGATATCTTTAATCTAAAAAAAATTAGCGTTTATAGAGGTACTGAAAAAATGCGGTATGCATGATATCTCGATTCTAGGTGATCTGAAACAGGAATGTCAAGACATTTTTAATTATGAACAATTAAAGAGAGACATAAGTTTTGGAAAAGGAGAAAAAGTGAAAAACATCAATTTAATCTTAGAATGTTGTCGATACATAAATAAATACATATGTATATAAGTAAGTGAGATCTTTGAGCGCTAATTGAGTTATGCTTTCAGTAGTCATTAGGAGGTTCAATATCATGTTAAAAGCTTGAATAAGCAGAGACAAGTTTTTAAAAATTTTTTATATAATGACTGCGTTCAGCAGAGAAAATTGTAGGTCTATTCTGTAACTCTTAATGCGAATTTCATTATCATTTAACGTTACTGTGCAGCGGCGTTGTAACGGCGATAACGAAACTTGCATTAAGAATTACAGAATAAATCTGCTAATCATTGAACTTACTGGATAAGTTTTTCGCTAAACGCAGCCAATCAGTTCAAATCTCCTGGTGGTTAGTATAATCAGAATATTACTATAATCAGAATCTGGATTTCAGTGTCATTTTCTCCACTCCAAGCGAAAAGCAATGTTAGTGTAACGGTCCAACCGTTAGCATATCAAATGTCTTCGCATAGATAGAGCAAAGAAATATACATATTTATTAGATCTGTACAAGAATCAGTACCGTTTATACCACTATATAACGTTCTAGCGTATTAAATGGACAAAGAAATATATTATGTGTTAAACTATTAGGTGTTGGAATTAATTCGTAGCGTTTTACAAGTGATGGGAAGTACTTTCATTAATGTATTTTTTAATGCTCATGTGAAATAAATAACATTCTTTCAT